ATACTGGGTAAGGTCATTGTACTCCATCGCTGTTATCAGCACATTTTCATGTATTCGCTCACTAACGCTATTTCATTTTTTTAGGAAGCATTATCAATGGCTTTGCACTTCCTTTGAAGGAAGAGCATAGAACGTTTTTGCTACGTGTATTGTTGCCGTTGCACAAGGTTTGTTCAGCTTTCATTGGTTTCCTTTTGAGTGCAATCGGCTTAGAGGAGGGGGGGGGTGACATTTCGCACTTTTACTTCTTCTCGTTGAATTGTACATGGCTTTACAAGAGTTGACAGGTACTTTTCACGGAATTTTATGGGTATCCACTCGTGCTCCCACAAGATTTCACAGGTCTCCACTCAAAATCTCGACAAGTTGATGGGAAGTAGTGAATGTGCAAGATGATTTCCAAGTCTAACCGCCCCCCCCCCCTTTGGCATAAGAATTCTTCCTTTTTCGTATTTGTCCATTTACCTCAATGAACGTGAAGTACCTGTTCCGACTTACTATGTTGTGTCGCACTATCCTTCTCAGTCAATTCCTGAACCCCGCCGAAATGTCCTTTCGAGCGAGTGGGGGCAAAGGCTGCCTCTTCTCGTCATTGTATTTAGTCCTATCCATGGCGGTTTCAGGTGAAATCTTTATCAACATATCATCCGCAGTTGGCTTACTGTGTTGTACAGTTTCTCGAGAAAGACCCATCATTAACTGAACCCGTCATTATGGGTCTGTTGAAGTTTTGGCCGAAGATTCACAGCCCGAAAGAGGTATGTATTTCTTTGAACGATAGATACATCAATGGGTGTACACTCCATATCCCAAAGATGAGAGGGGGCGTGGCCGCGTAATTTATTTGAACATGGCGGCAGAGAAATGAAATCCTTCATTATTTTGCGAAGACATGAATGCAATCTTACCAAAACGTCGGTATCTCAGCAGAAATGCAGCAGCAGTCGCGTTTCGTTGAAGTACGCGGCCACGCCCTTCCCATCTCTGCGATGTAGGACATAAATATTGCTGTTGTGAAGGACTTGATTATTGTGATATTTGTACTTGGTTGTTGAATATACGCTGCAGGGTATGGTTCCTCACAGAACTGAAGAAGTGTCTGGATGTTGGATCGAACGCGGTGGCAATTTAAAAAGCATTGCGTTCCACTTTTCACCCAGCTAGCGCGTTGCGTCAGCAGTCCACATTTCCAGGTGATTTCTCACTTCATTTCTTTCCTACTCTTGGCTCTTATAGAGCTTTCTTCTCATTCAAATAAACCGAAGAGTGGAGAAGAAAAGAGAACAGGTCAGTGCGTGGAATATACACAAGAGCTTTTATATTATGATAACTGCTGTTCACGCCGCAGTTCGCGTTTTAAAAGTTATCACAAGAATGCTGAGTTGTGGGGCATAAGTCGTGCCCCAGGCGGGACTACGCGCCATAGAAGCCGTTAAGGCTGGGAGGGTAAAAGCGGCCTTGGTGACGTAACGCGCACTAGCCCGGAAAGCGTGAGGTGCGGGTTCGACTCCTGCCTGGGGCACGACTTTTGCCCACAACTCAGATTCTTACGATACACAAAAAAAAAGCAAAAAAAACTGTGTCTTAATCGACCACATTGACAGTGCCTTCGCTATAGCGTTTCTAATGCGCCTTCTAAAACTGGCAGTTGTCGGTTTGGCAACTTGCTGTTTGATCAGTAAAGATCTTAGCTGATGATTATAGATTTTTGAATTTTTGTGACCAATAACAGGCTCGATTAAGTAAGTGTGGCGAGGTTACGTCTCAGTGTCTTTTCTCTTATCACTCTCCTAACAGGTTTCTTCATCACTCTCCTAACAGGTCTACGTTCAGGTAGCAGAACGTGCGCTGTATTACTGGAACAACGAGTATGTAATGTCTTTAATAGGGGAAAATGCTACAGTTATATTGCCAATAATGTTCCCGGCCTTGTACAAAAATAGCAAGTCTCATTGGAATAAGTAAGTACTTTTTTTGGAGGGGTTCTATGTGTAAGGCGTTGTTCATAGTCTGCGACACAGCGTTTCTCTAGAAAGAAACGCTTCGGCGAAAAGCTTCCGATACGTATCGATTGGCGGTTGGGCGAAGGGTTCGTCTTTACTTTTTGCCGAACCGCTGTTTCGTCAGGGTCGCAGCCTGTGAAAAATGCCTAGCTGTCATAGGTTTAGTTTAAACCCAGCTGCATTCAAACCCAGTCGCTCTATTTAGAACTATTCATGGCTTGATTTACAATGCTCTAAAGCTATTGATGGAGATCAATCAGAAGTTATTTGATGAGTGCTCACAGAATTACGCGAAGGTATGGCGATTTTCATGTTTTCTGCATTGTATTTGTTTTCTTTCGAATAGTTTAGTATGATGGCAGCTATGTTCTTAAATGCAAGGGTTCATGCCAGTTGTGCTTCCAGGAAAGATCACTAGAGAAAATCCGACAAGAAGAAAAGGAGCGAAAGTGGGAAATGATCGAGGAATGTGCTCGGAAAAATCCCAAGGTAAGCAGCTGGTAGCAGCAGTTTGCAAATATAATAATATGCGCTGTGTCGCAAAATAATAAGGGATGGGATAGATGTGTTCCCATTGCGCACCAATTGTTGTCTCGTGCCCTCCTCAACAGTTGGTTGGAAGTGGCTGCTGTCACGGCAAACTCAAGCGCCAGAATAGGCTGCGAACAAAACTGTAGAAAGTGAGCGAGTAAAAGAGCGCAGATAGTGGACTGCATAGCATTCATTTCATAGGGGAAGATTATTTGTTGCAGTACTGTGAAATAAAAGCCGTGTTTGGCGATGTGAACGGTATCACCTGTGGCATGGAGGCATTATCGCTGAAGTCATCTACCTCTAATGACGACGATAGCACTGTACAGTTGAATAAAGAGGAGATTTTGCGCAATACGTTGGACAGGGTGAGTCGAATTGCTTCTGATTTGGTTATAGTTGTTGCAGTGCCCTTCTTTCTTGGTCAGCGATTATCTAGAAGGTTCCGTGATTTCTCGTTGCATACGTGTGTTGGAATGGTTCAATAGAACTCAGGAGTGAGGTCTATTTGGTATATTTTCGAAGAAGAGAAGAGGCGGAGGTGATGTGGTGGCAAATGACATGCTTACCGCGCGCACTGTTCGGGGTCAAATCCTGGATCGCCTTCCGCTGATGTGAATCAAATTGCCTTGTAACAGATTGTTTGGGATCCGGGGTCAGGATACAACATCGTGATGTATGAAATGGTGGTGTCATTACGATCCCCATACCTAGAAGGGGGTCTTCGTGCCCCCCCCCCTCCCAATACCTACCTACCCCATTCCCCATTCACTCAAAAATATTCCGTCGAGCGGGGGAAGGAGCGGGTATTTAAGCCGCCAAATGTTGGGAAAACGGACTTCATAACTCCTACCAGTTCTGCAATTTAGCGAAAATTTTCCTGCTTACTTGCCTGCGCAATTTCGTGCTGTCGGGGGGGGAGGGGTAAGGGAATGGTACACATGAAAAAGGGAAAAACCACATGAACAGTCAACAACCGGGAAAAATTTTATTCCCAGCGCGGCAAATCACTTTCGGCACGTCGACTCCTCCCCCAACACCAACCGACGAATTACGACCTCTTCCCATACGGCCAAGTGCGTACGACCCCCCCCCCCCTGTGTTTCCTGACAACGATGCTGCGTTCTTAGCCGGCGAGGCCAAGCAAATCGGCAGGGAGCCAAAATGGTTGTCATTGGCGCTTCGAACCTTTCTCGCCTTCTGTGGTAGTGAAGAAAAAAAAGAACGGCGAAGGTCCAGTGACATCGTCTCCGGGCTCCTCACACAGTAATTCTCGAATGGTGTTATGACTGAATTTATGGGAGTTTGACGCTTGTTTAGGCGCTTTTGATTTTATTTCCGTGTTGTTCTATGAAAAGTGAGCTGCATTGCAGGAAAATGTGGAAAAGGCGAATCAAAGAGAAGTTGGATTCACGCAAAAACGCAGTGAACTCCCGCCAGATATGCATACGGAGAAAGCGTTAGAAGAGTATAAACGGCATGATGCCTATCTACGAAAGTTGGGTAACGCTGAGTGAATGATCACTCGTCGTCGCAGTTTCACTTCATCGATGAATCTCCTCCCGATGCTGTCTATACTTCTGCGGTACTAGGTGTGCAACACATCCTGTGTTATTTTAAATGACGGATCGATTAGTGTTTATAGCGTTTTTTTGTAGTTAGTGCATTTTTGATCGATCACACGTCTCAGTCGATAATCTCGATTATGCATTTGATACGATGCCGCTCTTGCTGCGTAGAGCTCTGATGTTGGGACCAAGGTGGTCATAAGATCCGAAATACCCTACTGGGAGTTAAAGAATGGCGCAGGGCAGTGTACATACTTCGCGCTCCCGTCGCGCAGGTTGAGAATGGTGCGACCTCGACGGACCGTGCTTTGCCGCTCGTTGGGCGGCTGCAAGCGCGAATTCAGTTACTGCGAAACGGAACCTCTACAGTTTTGCGATTGCCAGTGATCGGCGCGGTCGCTCGAGTGAACCCTCCTCCATTCGCAAAGCATGAACGTGACTAAGGGTTTTGTTGGACGAAAAAGAGCAGCTCGGTGCAGTTACTGTGCCTCTTTGGGCCGCGTTCATACTTTGCGAACCCGCGAGTTCAGAGAACGTGGGCACCTGTAAAATGCCCATCCAATGGATTAGATGTGCATCGATTGACTCTGCCCACTAGCGAGTACGCGCGATCTCTCGTTCCGAAGATTCTCGCATGTTGCGCTTCTTTCCAATTCGTTGGTAGGCGGAGCAAATCAATTCCCATTCGGACCGTTGACGCATATTCCCCCGGTTCGCAAAATATCCGGGTAAGACACTTGTATAGTGTAGTTCGCTGCGGACGGTGGGGCGTTTCAGGCAGGATGAGTTTGGCACGGTGCCAAACCCGTTCTCCACCAGCTGTTAAAGCGAGCAAGTGACAAGACTGTATCATGTCGTTCGTAACTCGTTTCCCAACAACTGTTGTCGCGTAACTGCTTCAACAACTGGCAGAGAACGGGTTTTTCACCGTGGCACACTCATACTGCCTGACACGCCCCACCGTCCGCAGCGGACTACATTATACCTTCATTTGCACAAATTGTTCGCATTCGCAAAGTATGTACGCGACCTTTTTGAATGTCGCTTCAGTAGATTCGAACACTTTAAGGCACGTTTTTCGAATAACCCGTACTTACAGTGCAACCTTGTCACGACCGCGCGTTGAGAGACGGGCGATTCTATCGTGAGCTAGTCAGGTTACGCTGCTCACGTCGCGCGCGGCGAATGGCACGGCAATTTCAGAGCTGCATTACCGGGTCCGTGAGTTGAAACTGCTGATTTTACTTTTCACGGCATCGCCATCGCCAACATTTTGAACGAGTCATGGGGCAATACAACTCGTACGCGATTGCTGCGGTGTCGCCAGCCACGCCTAGCCGCACGACAACCCAACAGGCCCCTCGACTGAATCGCCATATAGTCTGCCCCTCTCGGTCCTAATTGTGATCTACCTATTTTGACATCAGAGCTCTACCATTCATTTCGTTCTCATTTCTCTACGTGTTCATCACGCGCTTCTTTCTGCAATATATTTACATCCCTAAGCGATCTTTAACCCATGACAGTTGGCGGTCACCGAGTAATGACTATATGCTAAATTCCTTAATAATCGCATGTGTTAAGCAATTTTTTTCGTGTTTTTTCAAATTGTTACATGGGTCTTTTCACTGATGATTATTTTAATTTTTTTTCCTGGATGGTTTTTTTTTGTTTTCCACAATTCTGAGGGGACAGGGACACAAGTGTGGCGATGGCTAAAGGGAACGGGATTTCAACTGCATGATGTGTTAGACGGGTTGTCATAATCTAGGCTGAGCGCCCTACTCTGCTGCTCTGTGTTATAATTTGGGGGCAGACGGCTAAGCTTCATAAGAACGCTGGCATTGGCTTCTTAAAGGCAGTGGGCGCTATCTCCGGGGGCGGGCGGTTACTGCCAGCGTCATTGCGGGTCGGGAAGCTAAGATGGGAGTGTGGCAAACGCCCCCCGCAGCCCCCAGCGACGTTGGCAGTGACCACCCGCCCGGCTATCGAACCCCTGCCTTCAACAGCGACTGTTGGTGGCAATCGATACCTATGATTTACGTGGTAGGCTGGCGACGTGATCGCGGAGTATGAACGCGGTTGACTACTGATCACATTCAATCCAATGAAGCGTTAGTGATCCTGCCACTGTCTGTGGGAGCTACAGTCCTTATCTTGGACTATAGAAGAGGAGTGTATACGGGCTCTTCTTGTAAGCGAATACGGACCTTTTTGGCGAAGCAGCGGGTAGACATGTCGGGTCAGGCCAGAAACGAGGCCAGTGTTGATTGAATGTGCGCGCATAGCGAGCAAGAAGTCATTGCTATCTCCAACCCCCCCGTCCCCTCCCCCGCACTCACGAGCAAGTCCGTAGCCACACCCCTTTCAGCGTCGTGATATGGGCATTGAAATTTGTAGTCCCTGTTAGCCCAGACAAAGCGCCCAGCTGATGCAGACGCCCCTGTTCCACGCCCACTTAGGTCTGTAATAGGATCCCCTCACTTTTTTCGCACTGTAAATTAATGTATAAGAGTTGATGTACCAGAGTTGTCATATTTCTGACAATACGAGAAATTCTCCTCGACTTGCGATGCCGGTTATGAGTTTTTCTTCATAATTGATTCCTCTATCATGATTATCTTCTTGTTTTTGTTTCCTTTCACCCTGCTGGATTTCTTCCGTTGTTTCAAGGCTAGCTCTCTCTCCTTATATGTGTTATGAAATGCATTTTATATTGAAATATTGCATTCATTCGTCTACTCATTTGGATTGATTTCGGCATTTGTAGGAGAGTCTGCCCTCTTTGAATGATGATATGGAGGATTCTGTCTGTGGTTTTGAAAATAAGATTTAGATGCTGCTGAATCTGATTTCAAGGATATTTTTAACGATAAATGTTTTATCGATTACATTGCGGTATTGTTTCTATTTTACTAGTCGGCAGTCTGGTATGGTATGATAGAAAGGAGCATCGTTATATCATTTTTGGATCACAGATTCAGATTTGTTCGCCAGCAGACAAAGGTATAAGGCACGTCAATTTGGTAGTTGCTCGAAAATAGTAGCAGGGGTGCTATATAGTGGGGAAAAGGACGAAAAAGCGAAGTTAAACGGCCAAAAACCTGCGAAAACCCCTTTGTTATGCACGGCAATGGGCGAACATCTTTGGACGAGTTCCTGGTTGGCATCATGCATAAATGAAGCGACAGGGCTACCAGTGTCGATGTGACTGCACGGCCATTTGTGAGCGTGCGGTTGCTGTGGGCGTCCGGCGCCTGATAAGGAGCCCAATATTCTTTCGCACCAGACGTATCGACTCTGCCGATTTATCGTGCCACTTGCCTTTCAGTCGGATATGTTGCAAATGGGGAATGGGGCGCTACTTTTTGGCTTCTGTAGACGACTATATGTGGGAATATCTACCAGCTGGAGCCTTTCCCTCATGGCATGTCACACTGGTATGGGAACATAAGCACTGTCATCGGGTACAATGCCATGGAGGCGTGGAGTTTGAGGTGACGGTTAGGATTTTGATGCGAGAACCACAGACTTCTGCGCGCAAAACTTTGGAAGCGTTTTGGATAGCGCTAAAAATCCCAAAATGAACAGAAAGGACGAATGCCTGGCCATCACAAACGAGCTCGCCCCGTTTGCTGACCTGTGTGGGCTTCAGTTGATCG